TATATATACAGTATATATATATATATATCTATATATATCTATATATCTATATACAGGTAGTTCTGCTATAACGCGATAATTGTGTTCTTGTAAAATATCGTGTTATAGAAAATCGCGTAATAGAAATAACAGGGCTTATGGAGAAAATAGGGTTAGGTGCAGATTACTCCAAATCGAAAAAAAATTTCGTAGTTAGCCTAACACAAAGGATAGCACAGTCTAAATAAATGTTACATTCATATCTAATAATGAAATCATACACTAAATGTTACACTTTACCTTGAAAAAATATGAATTTAACTTGATGGGGGAGAAGGTTAATGTTGAGGTTGAGGAGTCATGCAGACAGGATTTGACAATTGTCATCGTCATCATCAGTATCATCATCATCAGGTGCAGTTTTGGATGCATGGGAGGGAAGAAAAAAACGTCTAATTCCAGAAGTGGATGGCTGTGGTTCAGTGTCTTCAGTCTGCTTCTTGGGGGTTGACTTAAAAAAGACGTCTAATGTTTGCACTAAAGGCAACCACATCATCAGGATTTTCAGCTTTTTTCTTTAGGTCCTCATATATTGACAAGGCTTTCTCTTTAATGGTGAGGAAGCTGGTCCCAGATCGCTTTTTCGTTTGATCTTCTATCCAAACACTTAGAAGCCATTCCATCTCCTCAAGTTCCTTTGGCCGTGATCTTACACTTTTGCCAGCTCTCTTGGTTTTTCCAGCAACACAGCTTGCTTTAATCTTTGCTGCATTGGCTCTAATGGTGCGCAAAGTAGACTCCTTTATTCCCGTTGCACGCACAATATCACATGTTCTTTCCTTATTTTCAAAACGCTTGACAACATCAAGCTTGCCTTCAAGTGTTATAGCCTTTCTTTTACGATCACCACCAGAAATGCGATCACCAGAATGCTTCCCGGAGATATTCTTCTTTTCCATAGTCACAAAATTGGGGAAACAGTAAATCAGAAAGCACTGAGGACGCTTAAAAATTTCTCACGTCTAGCAAAGAGAGCGCAGGTCTAAAACGCTACGTATTTTGTTTTTCTCTCTTAGTTAAAATTTTACATTTTACATATACTGTACAGGTATACTGTATACATAAATATTACATAAATTATTTCTGCAATTGTTCACAAACAAAACACATAAATCAATTGAACATGTGATGTCAAACGTGAACTGTAAACACTGCATAACCCCGCGCCAAGCCACAGCACTGTACATACTGTACAGTACACTTTAAATGCTTCGTATTTAGTTTTTCTTTTATTTAAATTTTTACAATTTACATATATATATATACCTGTATAAGTAAATTGTAATTTACATATTATTCATATTATGCTAGAGCGGCCACAAAACATGAGAAACGTTTGAGTCCCCCAGTAGAGATGTCCGTTCTCTATCCACTCCAGGATGTCCGTTTTCTTTTTGTGTACTCGCTCAGGGACTCAAGTATTTCTGTATATGACACAGGATGATAAGGGAATTTGAATTTATTTGTTTATTTATTTATATATAATATACTGTAATATATTAAATATACTGCAAGTATTTTCTTTAATTTATATACGTGTTTCGCGAAAAAGGGAGGCTACATTTATGGTGATCGTTAAGGATCAAACTCCGAATCCATGACGTGACTTCTGTTCATTATTTATATCCTAAATTTACCACTGTCGGCAGTTTCAAGAATTAATGCAGTCATTTACTGAATATTCTTTGCAAAAAAATAAATTTTAAATGAATTATTTATAGGAGATAAATATATTGATCAGTAAATATACAGATATGCATTACTGACCACCTCCAAACACAAGGACGGCTAAAAATAGCCACAGGCGGTCACAGTCAAGGTCACTTTCCCTTTCTTGTCACTGGCAAATGGGGGAGGGGGGGGTGGATGATAATAGCAGCTGTGTTTATTACGGTATGTTCGACTGGTTTATAATACATTTTTATTATTTTAATATACCGGTAATCTTCATTTTAATCCAGCTTCCCAATCGTAAGTTTCAGTATAAAATAATTAGTGGTACTGTAGGACCTTGTGAGTGGTTTACTGTATACATAAATATTACATAAATTATTTCTGCAATTCTTCACAAACAAAACACATAAATCAATTGAATATGTGATGTCGAACGTAAACTGTAAACACTGTGTATGATGTAAAGAGAGCGCGGGTGTAAAACGCTATGTAATTTGATTTTCTCTTTTATGTAAAATTTTACAATTTACTTATAATATATAGGTATACTGTATACATAAATATTACATACATTATTTATGCAATTGTTCACAAACAAAACACATAACTCAATTGAATATGTGATGTCAACGGAACTGAATACAACAATCGTTTGAAAATGTATATATATATATATATATATATATATATATATATATATATATATATATATATATATATATATATATATATATATATATATGCTGATATACAACAGTGAGTTCTGCTATAACGCGTGTTTTGATAACGCGAATTTGCTCTAACGCGATTTATGAATTCGGAACAATATTATGAATTCGGGACAATATTTGTATAACGCGATCGCTTGTTTGCTATAACGCGATTTTTGCTTACTATTTCTCCAATTTTGTGGTATTAACTGTGAATATGGTAAAGAAGAATATCTCCAAAAAGCATTCTGATGATAGAATTCCCGGTGATTATCGTAAAAGAAAGGATATAACACTTGAAGAGAAGCTTGATGTTATCAACCTCAAAATCACCCTTCTCCCCATCAAGTTACATTCATATTTTTTCAAGGTAAAGTGTTAAATTTACTGTATGATTTCATTATTAGATATGAATGTAACATTTATTTAGACTGTGCTATCCTTTGTGTTAGGCTAACTACTAAATTTTTTCGATTTCGAGTAATCTGCACCTAACCCTATTTTCTCCATAAGCCCTGTTATTTCTATTACGCGATTTTCTATAACACGATATTTTACAAGAACACAATTATCGCGTTATAGCAGAACTACCTGTATATATTTCATTAGCCCAATAAAGCACGCGGACTTCTACATACAATCAACACCTCAACCCGCCAGGATTCGAACCCACGGCCCACAAGCCTATGACTGTGACCGGGGAACGGTAACCGCTGGACCACCAGGATACTAAAAGCAGTCCTACAGTAGACTTTGTTATATTTCACACAAAGCCTGTTCAACGAGCTTATGGCGCCGTGAACCTCTAATGGGGACCACCCGTATCACGTAGGTGGTCAGAGTAACGTTTTACCAAATCGACGAAACGAGGATCCATATATATTTCATTAGCCCAATAAAGCACGCGGACTTCTACATACAATCAACACCTCAACCCGCCAGGATTCGAACCCACGGCCCACAAGCCTATGACTGTGACCGGGGAACGCTATATATGGATCCTCATGTTTCGAAGCCGGATTTGGTAAGCGTCAGGTCGAGTCCCTCCATCTTTAGCCTTTATCTTTATTCAAGACATTTTCAGAAAATGTACCTTGGAAAATTTGTTCCCAAAGCCAGATTTTTTTTGAAATTTCGGCTTTGGGAATGCTTTTCCAAGCAAATTTAAATTCCGGCTATAGGAGAGTTCCAGGTTAGAGGGATTCCGGCTAACGGAGATATTACTGTATTTAATATTGTGACTGAAGATGGATCTGAAGCACAAACGGTAAGCCAAGGAATGAGTCAGTGTGGACCACAAATGTTCATTGGACCTCGAGTTGACCAACGATTCACAGAGGTTTTCATGACCCTGAATCAACCGGGTGAAAATGCTATTCATAGTGAAAAATCATCAAGCCTTTTTGATGCTTAATGTACTGTACCTGCAATTCAACAATATGGTCTCTCTGCTAATGGCCCTGAGAGGGTGTTTAGTTGAGGAGTTCTCTGGCAGGCCACTTACAATGATCCATACATCATTAAGCAGCAGAGATACTGTACTATATGTAAACAGTAAGAGATGAAACAACAGTGTCTTAATAGTTACTTACTTGATCTGTTCTAAAAATTCTGAGAGATCTGTCGTAACTTCCCGAGCAGAACTCTCGACCAGTTGGAGCATAGTCAAGATCAATGACGGCGGATGTGTGACCTTCATGAATGTTGATGACTCTGTTGTCTTTATTCATGTTTCTAATATCAAATGAGTACAAGCTGCAAAATAAAATTAAAAATAATTCTAAATTACATTAAGAAAGCTAGTGCAACATTACACAACAATATTCTGATATCTATCTTCGTACACATGATCAGTTACTTTAAAAACAGCATTTGATAATAAAAGTAAAATCAAAGTGATCACAGAATGACACTTAATATGGCATTTATCCACACAGAAGTGAAGTACAGATCATGAAATCCCATTTTATGGCTGCACTCATAACTAACACACTTAAGACTTATTGCCATGAGTCTTAGGTTCTGAGCTCTAGTTAAGCCTGAGACTGTCTCAAGCATTAATTACACTTCCACTTCATAAGCAAGGGATCTTCAGAAACAACAGTCAACATTAAAGGAAGGAATCAATGAGTCAGGAGAACCTTCATACAGGTCAGCCACTTGGAGATGCCATTGGAGTTTAGAACTTAGTCAGACTGAGCAACTCCATATAGCCAATAAATCTACACCTCTGCAGCCTAATATACAGGTTGTACCATTCAAAATGCAACCCAAACAACAGTCACAAATTACTCTACAAATACAAAATCAGAAGACATATCCTCCCTTAGTTTTGTGTAATGGACTTCCTTAACCTTCTCCGTTATACTGACAAAAGTCATAGGTATGGCTTCTTTGAGCTAAAGCAATCAGGGTGAGAGGATGGTATATTCACAGGCTAAACGTGTGTTCATTCCTGAATATTACTTTGCAACCAAAACTGTCTACAGCTTGTGTGAAAGCTTGTTCTTGTTAATTTGATCTGTAATAGATATTGTTTGGTTGATGAATCTTTTCTTCACAAATTCATCATACCGTTCACCACCAATTTTTTTCACGTTCTTCACACATTCAACTGTTTCTTTTGGCGTTACAACTTTGGATTCTAGATCATACAACTCACCACTGTCTTCATTTAAGGGATTACCAAGAATGTTGAAAACATTAACCAGTGCCAACACTTGCTTTCAGAAGGTAGCCTGTACATGTTTAACCTATTCATGGTGTGCGCTTCCATATTCCAAATGTTCCCCGAGACCAGTAACTTCCTCATACTCTTGGACCATTCTTACAATCTCTGGCCCAGCTATCATCCAGCGTCTGAAGGCTGCTGGGTTTTCAGTGAGACCTATTGCCCCTTTGTCTCCCTTTACATGAGCATTTAGCTGTTCATGAACATTATCAAATGCAATATTAAAAAACGTTTTTTTTTGCTCATTCACTGAAAATGGACCAGCTGAAAAAAAAACTAAAAAATGCCTGGGTGCATTTCAGTCAATCAACTCATGTCTCAGCCACCCAGAGTAATTTATGTGGTTCAGTCCAAACATCCAAGGCATCAACTGTGTTAAAGACAGCACATACATTTGAAATTTCCCTTATCTTATTTCTTTCACAAGTTTGAATATGATAAGCTATAGTTGTATCACTTTTGAACTGGGGTTCTTTCTCACTTATTTCAGTGCACCATTATTTACTACAGTATATGCTTTCTTTTGTAGGATGTATAAAAAGCAGCTTCACTTAGTAAACATGCTGAGACTTGGCTTTAATAAAATTGATTTTTCTAGTCAGAAATGGATACCATGACCCCAAAAGCTGTCAATTTTGGATTTTCTTGGCTGTTCAACATATATTAGTTGTTTTATACATTAAACTCTACCACTCAGTCAAATGTCACGATTCTACTAAAAAGTGAACATTTATCATGGTTAACTGCTAGATTAGAGGGAAGGAAGGAGACCAAGCTACCTTCTGGTACTGCTCACCGGGACTCACAACACCCCCCCCCCCACCACCGCAAGACGGCTCTCACTGGGGGAAAAGGTTCAAGTTGTACCATGTAGTCACAATGGGTCAAGTTGTACCATGTGGTCACAATGGGTCAGGATGTACCATGTGGTCACAATAAGTCAAGTTGTACCATGTGGTCACAATGGGTTATGAACTGGGTAGCACTGTACTGCCTCGCCTGCCACTGCTGGCTGTGAAGTGGTTGGCAGTATTACATTTTATAGGCCTAGTGTGCAGACCATAAAATGATTCCTCTAAATTTATTTCTGTACTGAACTTACTTGTAATCCTCACTAGCAGCAGTCAGTATAAATGCCTCCATAGGATTCCAAGCCAAGGCATTGACACGCATCGTCATCTTTAACTTCTTTACTTCTTTAGCTCGAGTGTCATAAAGGACGATGTTATTTGCATGGTCGCTGGAAGCTGAGGATCAATAAAAATGTTTGTAAAGTCAAAATCAAAACAACATATACAAAATGTAAATATTGTATAAGAACACGTTCACCCGCCAAGAAAAGTACGTGGACCCTCACAGTGTCAAACAATGACAAAATATAACAAACTGGACAAAATATTATAAAAAGGAATGTTTCACATTGGTAGCCCAGCATTCCTACTATGGCAGTAATTGGGTTATCAGTTATTTCTCTCATTATAAGTTTGTATATTCACAATATTTGTATCTTGGAGAGTAAAGCATTTAGGAAACCACTTTTATTACATTTGTTACATTAATAATTGATATAAGCACCCCAGCCTCTATTAAGCTGTTAAGTCTCCTGAGCATGGAGTCCACTAACTCAGTAGTGAGGATTTGTCTGGCAGGACTTGGCAACTCTTCCCACGCTTGTAGTGTACTCATGACGACACTTTCACACCTCCTGGGGTGGTTCATCGGCATCCATTGTCATGGCAGAACCATACGTTCTCGATGGGGTTAAGGTCCAGAGATTGTGGTGGATGTGGCAGTTCTATACGTAGTGTTATTTCCGGGTGTTGGCCAAATTACTCTTTGACGACGTGACAGGTGTGGATGGGGCTGTTGTCTTGAATAAAGTAAAATGACCCAGGCTCGGGAAAGAACAATGCCCGCACTGACGGCAGTAGAATGCCTTCTACAGTAGGTTCTCAAATTTTGCAAGTTTTTAATTCAACGTTTTTTATTTGGGCAAAAAAAAAAAAAAAAAACTACACAATTTCAAATTTCAACGGCGGAAACTCGAATTTCGACGGGTTTGAGCGGCCCGCCAACGTTCAGATGTGCACAATGTGTAAACAGCGTCATTTCTCTTATGTACAAAAGATTCATTATTGTTTATTACGTTATGTCTTTTTGATTGAATTAATGTTTATGTGTGCAAAATGAACAATACAATTCATTAATAATACGTAGAATATTAAAACACACGAGGAGACGAGACGGCATTGTTTTCGTTAATGTTTACAAAAACAGTGACTGATTGGTTCTACATATAAAACCAAAGAAAATAAGACCCTGGTTGTAGCTGTAGTAAAATTAATGTAAAAAAATTAATATGGTTGTTTTAAGCAATGCTATTTAATGTTAATACAGTGATCCCTCGGTTAACGAACGCTTCGGTTAACGAATTACCTTCCATAAGATTCTTCACTCCGGTTAACGAAAAAATTTTGGTTAACGAATTTCTTACTAGCAGCATTTGCCTGCTCACCAGCTGTAGTATTAGTCTGCCAATACAGTAATCGGTTCTAGGGCTTAAATTCGTTACCATTTTAGAAAATATCAAAAAGGTTGTACCATTCAATCGTTTTAAAAGTTTTATATTCAATATTTTAGTCATTTTAACAATTATTGAACATAATTGAAGAACAGGAAATTAGTTTTTTGCATGCCAAACAGCCACTCAACACACCAAGCTTGGCGTCAGTTTGTTTACAGGTTCAGAGGAAGGAACATCTTGTTTGAGACTCTTCAACATAAACGCTTTTTTTCTGTTTCCAGTCAAATTATTGATCATTCTGAAGTTTATTTTACATATTGACAATATATAATGCAGTGCAGTGTTGATTTAAAGAAAATAATCTTGAATTACACCAAGTGAACCAAAATTTTATGGGAGAAATGGCGGCATGGGGTGACTTCTCCTCCACCCCAATGCCTTCTCTTCTCCCTTCTCCTCCACCCCCACTTCCTTCTCTTCTCTCCTCTCCTCCACCTCCCACTTCAAATTCACATGAGCATCATCATCCAGGAGCCTTCTACATACACACCTCAAAGTAAGTGTACTTAACTGCATTTATTTTTTTACTTTAAGGTAATTTTCGGTGAGCTGGAACCAATTAACCAAAAACCCATTGAAACAATGGATTCGGTTAACGAACAACCTTCTGGAATGAATTGTGTTCGTTAACCGAGGGACCACTGTAAATGGAACAATAGAAGTAGCTACCGGGTAACCATTAATGGTAAAGAAAAAAAGTGAGATCGCGTATGTAATTGTGCACATGTGAAAACATATCGTCATTACTCTACATAAGAATATGAAAGCAATACTTATTTACTGTTCATATATATTATAATTAATGTTTCTGAATTTAAAACAAAAATTCTACCCACCAGTGGTGGTAAAGTTGAAAACATAAGGACAGCCAATGTTGATGTGTGTCTTTACTGGGATGACAAAGTTGCCAAGTCATCAGGTTCAACTCTAGCTGAAGCTGTAGAACATAAGAACTTTTTTGTGTTGTTTTAACTTTTTATTTAACTTCATCTGTGTTATTTTCGTTGATTTATTAGGATGTTGCTTTATTACAGGGAGTAATTCGCCCAAAAAGTAGGGTAAATAAGGCAAAATTTAGCCAAACATCGAAAATAACAGACTCAAATTAATTTTCTCCATAGGAAGTTGTATTTAAATTTGGACGAATTGAATTTCGCGAGGTTCTTACAGTCTAAATAGGTGTCCAAATATGAGAGCCTACTGTAATATGTTAATATACTTGAGACCGGTGAATGGGCCAGCCCATCATCGGCCAGCTCCCCCACACCTCCTACGTGCAACCACCCAAACAACCCCGCGGTGACTTGGCCACTTCTCCTTGTGGGCACTACATGGTCTGAATCGTGCTTGCAAACAGTATTTTAACAATCAATACTGTATTGATGCAACTCTTCGCAACGTAACATGAATTAAAATATAAATTAACTAATGTAATTATGACATGGAGAGATTTACTACACCTAGTGTTTCGTATCTGCCGCACTTTAGTACTTCTGTGAAGGTCTGAGCTGAATGTCTTCTCATCACAAAAGACTACGTGGAGCCAGAAATTATCATCTATGTCACAGTATTCTAGCGCATACTCCATTCTTTTCTCCCTCTTCAACTCAGAGGTGTGTGGCTTCTTTGCCGATGTGTAACTACACAGATCCATGGAGTGAAGTCTGCTTCGGATAGTTTGAGGAGCGCATCATAGTCCAAAGTAGTCCCGAATGGTGACAGCTGTGGTAAATGGATCGGCTGGTCCAGAAATGGAGGAAAACATATTAATGTCATAAATGAAGAAGTACAGTATATAAGTATTTCAGTTATTTACTGACTTCATTAACATTAACACAAATAATAAACCTGGTCATCTTCCCGAGATGTGCATTGCGGGCGCCCGCTCCAAGGCCTGTCTCCTCGTAGCACCGAATTCACTTCACTACAGTTGACTTGGACACACCAAAGCTGCAGTGCAATTCCATAGTTGCCAAGCCATGGCTGTGTAGAGCAATGATAGATGAATGTGTTGAGTTTGACGTCTCCTTGATGAGTGACGAGACCGTAGCATGGATACAGCTCGTCTACCATGAAAGCTTCCCAAACCCTTACCTGTCTTTATAATTGAATCACTATAATCGACTCTTTTTTTATTTGGTAGACAAGAGCGAGGTTTGCTAGATTTCCAAGGTACAGTTCGTACTGTTTTGAGGTGTCTCAAAACAGCGACTCACTCATGCTTACCAACTTTAACGACAGGAGTTGTGTTCAAATTGAATACCATCACAGACAGGGGTCCAAGGGTCCATGTACTTTTCTTGACTGGTGTACACATCTTCCTATACTGTACTGTATATAATACATATGACTTACAGAGCACACACATTTATGATCCCTTATCTTGGATATTAGAGCTACTGTACAACTAGAGAACAAAAACAAACAATAATCAATTTAACAAGAAGAATTACCAAACAGGTCAGTCTCAACAGGGTTGAATTTGACTGATACTACACTAGCATCATTGCGATCTCCACTTGTGCTCCAGTCATAGGAAAATTTGGGTGCCTTAGTGCTGGAGTCCCACAGTAACACTCGCTCACCACACGTGATGAACTCATTCTTGTGTCTGTGGTGTGTGATGCCTGTGATGATTGACTGAAAGAAATAACAAATGTATAACTCTGGTGAACTTGAACAATAAAATAATTCTTACAAAAGATTTTTTGTACCACAAAGCATTTTATGATACAGAAATACAAAACAAAATATTTTATCATAACTAATATAAGGCAAAGTACAGTAAAATCTGGATGATACGAGTAGATACGCTCTTTGGAGTCTGCTCGTATTGCAAAAACTCATATAATGGAGGGAATAATACACGGGTTAAATAGGGATGCATTCCCGAGCACCAAGTATAGCGATGACAGTAAATAAATGCGATTCAGTACGAGCGGACAAACTGAGATAGCAGATTCAAACGCTGCGAGATAGGAGAGGGTGGCTGGGGGGAGGACGGTAGGGAGGGAGGGGAGGGGAGGGGTGCGCGGCCTGGCTGAGTCGCTCACAAACACATCTCTGTGCATCTGGCTGGGGGGAGGACGGAAGGGAGGGAGGGGAGGGGTGCGCGGCCTGGCTGAGTGGCTCACAAACACATCTCTGTGCATCTGGCTGGGGGGAGGACGGAAGGGAGGTAGGGGAGGGGTGCGCGGCCTGGCTGAGTGGCTCACAAAAACGTCTCTGCACATCTACGTCACGAGAGACATCACAGACCATGTCACTGCTTGTTCCACCTACTTGGCTGGGTAAACTGAGAAAGCACTGTAGCCAAGTTTGACTCGTCACAGCAACCACCAGGCTACTGGGCCAAGCTGTTAGGTGTTATGGTTGTTTTTCAACTCATATTTTCGGGTAGATATAAGTAACTCTTCATTTATTTTTAATTATTTACATGCACACACCCTCCTAAATATATAATTGTGAGATAGGTAAAAGAAATAATTGTCCTAAGAGCAAACCTGTACTCAAATGTACATTTTATAAGCGAACAACTTTAACTCCCTCTATTTGACTTGGTAACCAACCTTTGCCGCCAAGCTGTCAGCACCTCACCTCACTCCCTCCCTCCTCCT